GTCTGTGAACTCTCTGCCTGTCCTGTCACGGCTATGGAGGCCATCTGTAAACTCTCTGCCTGTCCTATCACGCTATGGAGGCCATCTGTGAACTTTCTGTCTGTCCTGTCACGGTTCTGGAGGCCATCTGTGAATTCTCTGCCTATCCTCTTACGGCTAAGAAGGCCGTTTCTGAACTCTTAGTCTGTCCTGTTCCGACCAAGGAGGTCGTTTCTGAATTCTCTGACATTCCAGCCACGGTCAAAAAGGCTGCCCCTGAACTCTCTGCTCACCCTGTTATGGCTAAAGATGCCATTTCTGAACTGTCTGCCAGTCTTGTTACGGCCGCTGAGGCCATTGTTAACCTCTCTGTGCTCTATGTTCCAGTTCTGCCTGATCCGCTTGGTGGTATCCTGCACCATCAACTCCGCCCTGGTGGTCTTCTGCTCCGCCTGCTCAGCCATGGTGGTCCTTAGCTCTGCTCTGGTGGTCTTCAGCTCTGCCCTGGCTCCCTGCAATGCCTTGGCACTCTGCTCTGCCCTGGCTCTGTTCCACTGGTTCTGCCTTGACTCACTGCTCCGCCTTGGCCCTCTGCCCCTCTGTACCTTGCCATTCACTCAGGACTCCATTTCCCATAATCCTTTGCCCTGACTCATCAAGTGCATCACCTGTCTCTCATCAGATCTCATCATCAGTACACAGCTGTCTCACATTAGTAAGACTATAAGAATAGCACACACACTCGCTGTCATCGCTGGTGATTTAATGTTGTATAGCTCTTCCGTGGTTTCCAAGTTTCCGTGTTTCTAGTTTCTCTGTTTCCTTGCCTTCGTGTTTTGATCCCTGGACTGTTTTCTTATTTATGATTGTTTTGCTGCCTTCCCTGACCATTGCCTGATTATCTGGATTACTCTTTTGCCTTGCCACTGCCATCATTGTTTGCTGTTGTTGACCACGCCTGTTTGACTACGCTCTAATTAAAGCCTTGCAATTGGATCCCCACTTTGTCGTCACTCCTCCCTCATTACAACCATACTGTTGATGCCGTGTCCGGCCGGAGCGACGAGACCAAAACATTAAAACCCATTACAAACGAGGCATTTGTTGCATTCAGTGGGGATATAATTACTGATTATAATGACTTATACTGTCTTTTTACGCGTTGCATTGCATCGCGCCGCGTAAACATAAAACCATGTCTGCATTTGTGATCGGAGAAACGACAAACAACAAGCGATACTCTACACTGCCCAAAACTCGTGTTTGAATCATCAGTGGCAAATTCTTTGAATGAAAACATTCTTACAGACTGAGAGTCAGAACTGCCGGCATTGTAGTCTACTCTCCCAGGATCAGTAAACAGTCCTCCATAAATTGTGCTGCACACATCTGAATATTTGGGTCAAACTGTTCTGGAACAGTGTTGTAAATACAACTTAACCACTGATTTGTAGTCGTGTCCTCTTTTGGAAGACCAAACAAAGTAGTTTCGCTTTCACAACGAAAAACACGGAGGCCTAGTGTGAGTGGAAGCCGCAGTTTAGCGTGAGCTGAGGCAGCGGAGTCGAGAATGGCGCGCCCGGCGGATTCGACGAAGGAGCGGTAACCACATGTGACGACCCCGGGCTGGACTCCTCTTCGTCCACGGTGAAAGTTGATCCGGTAATCCACAGCACTAAGTTGATGTATTCCCTCAGCGACCAGCACAGATCAGCTCCAGGCATGACCAAGCGGATATCGTCCTCTTTTGGAAGACCAAACAAAGTAGTTTTGCTTTCACAACGAAGCACACAGCGTCTTCACGACATGGCGACGGCAACAATACTACAACGAGAATAAAAGTTACGCCGCCATTCTTTGCGTGAACATTTGGGCGGCGTTATGCAAATCTTCCCACATAGTGAGGTAGATATGTGGGGGCGTGTTAGAACTAGCCGTTTTAGGTAGGTGTGGTTAATTTTTAACATTTATAAAGAATATCTCATTGGATTTGAGACTTTAGTCTTTGCAACTTTACAGATCTTCTTTATGCACCAAGAGCTTGTAACACTCCAAAGAAAAAGGAAAAATTGAAATCGCATCATATGACCCTTTAAAGCCATGCCGATAAATTAGGCTCAGTGTTCTTGAATATGAAAAGAAAAGAACCATAAAAGTACAAGTTCACTTCTGCCTAAAGGTATGGAAACTGAACAAACTTGTGCTTCTAGGCAGAATAAACCTCCATTAAAGGAAGAGTTCATCCAAAAATTTAAATTGACATCCTCAGGCCAGATGTAGTTGAGTTTGATTTTTCATTGGAACAGAGTTGGAGAAATTTTGCATTACATCACTTGCTCGCAGTGAATGGGTGCCGTCAGAATGAGAGTCCAAACAGCTGATAAAAGCATTACACACGTCTCCAGTCCATCAATTAACATCTTGTGAAGTGTGTGTTTCTTACAAACATGCAGCTTTTCATTTCACAGGATGTTAACTGATGGACTGGAGTCGTGTGGATTACTTGTGAATTTATTGTGATGCTGTTATTTGGTGTTTGGACTCTCATTCTGACGGCACCCATTCACTGCAAGTGAGCAAGTGATGTAATGCTAAACTTCTCCAAATCGGTTCTGATGAAGAAACAAATTCATCTACATCTTGGATGGCCTGAGGTTGAGCCAATTTTCAGATTTAAATTTTTTGGGGTGAACTATTCCTTTAAATAAGTCGATGGTGCCACATTTTTGGATCACTCTGAATGCTAGAATATATATATATATATATATATACACACACACACACAAGAGCAAACTAAGACCTACCAAACAAGAACCATAGTCCAATATTTCAATAAACATGCCTGCTAAAACTTTTTCCTGCATGGGCATGATTCAAAAAACAAGTTTTGTCAAATAATCACATTATGTTTTGGATCGATTGCAGCTTCAACAAAATCCACTAAGCACGATCTCTATTCGAAATCCACTCTGACCGATTTTTTGTTGTTGTTGAACTACTGTAAAACCCAAAGGAATTGCAGTGAGTACATTCTGCTGAGATGGCAGTAAAAACATTTGTAAATGCAGGCACACTTTATATTTTCAAAAGAAGTATGTCTTGAAAATACTGGCACAGGAGCTTAAAGTATTCAAAGAGAAATATAACAAATACTTTGAGAATATATTAGGAAAATAATCTGCATACCTAAAATTGCACGCACCCCACTGTACCTTTAAAGCAGACAGGAGACGAACATATAAACAAAACTCAAACGGATGACACATATTAATTTCCCTGCTGGACCGTTCCTGTGGTATGAGCGTCTGTGTGGGTCTTGGCAGGGACTGAGAGGTTCTCTCTCCATCTCACAGATGTAAATGCTTCCCTAGTTTCCCCAGTGTCAGTGGTGCCCCACACACCTCTCTGGCCTAACGGCTGTGCGTAAGGATGTGAAGGTCCGGATCTAGCAGCTTGACAGGCGCCGGTAAAAGTACATGTAGCCCAAGTCTTTAGGGGGCCTCTCTGACAAACATATTTTGTGGTCATTGTAAATCAGCCACCTAGGGAAGTAAAAGACATCCGAGTTTGAGTTAGGCCTATATATACACATTTACATTTATAGTTATGAATTAAAATTTTTCCCCCCCTAATAATTACATTTTCAAAAACAAGTCAAATTTATTCTTTTTTTTTTTTTTTAATAAATCAAATTTTAAATACTTTTGTCTTTTAAACATTTAGAAATGGTTACAAATTATGAATGTACAGTGGGTACGGAAAGTATTCAGACCCCCTTAAATTTTTCACTCTTTGTTATATTGCAGCCATTTGAATTTGACAGTAATATTTAAAAATAACTTTTAATATATTTTAAAATGCAATTTATTCCAGTCTTCAATATCAGACGATCCTTCAGAATTATTTTTTTTTTTTGTGGACACTTTTGTTTTTCAGGATTCTTTGATGAATAGAAAGTTAAAAAGAGTATCATTTATTTGAATTTGAAATCTTTCGTATCAATATAAATGTCTTTAACTTTTCATCAATTTAAAATGTCCTTGCTGAATAAAACGATACATTTCCTTTAAATAAATGCACACACACAAATACAACAAAAAAACCCTGAAAAGTACTTTCATCAAAGATTTAGTTAGCAAGTAAACTTTGACTGAATAACAGCGTAATCTCCAAATAACTTTAATCCAACACAAACAGCATTTCCTTCAATTATAAACAATGTAGACAAACTTTCAAGTATCCATTAAAGGAATGTGAAGGTTAGCCAAGCAGTTCAACAGAAGAGATGGCTCCTCAATTCTCACATGCTTGGTTGATGAGCAACAAGTGACAAAACTGACCCAGACATGCTGGAACATGTTTTTGCATCGGTGTAACGTGACACTATGCTAATTATATTCCTGCCAAAGAATCATATCAAACAATTTGCAGCAAGAAGTAACAGTTCAAAACATGAACATACTACATACAGTGGCCCTAAAAAAATATCTAGACACGATTGGACACTGTATGAAATGTATGAATTTCATTGTTTTAGATTTTTTTCAAAAAGTGTCATCTGCAAACAAATGACACTTGAACTTTTAGTGGAACTAGTCTCAAGGTAATTTTTTAGTCGATGTGTGGAGTCGGTTCCACGCAGTGAAGTTCACGCAGGTGTCCTAGAAGAGTAACCACAGGTGCAGTGTATCATAACGCAATGACATTCATAAATTTTTAGTTGTCCAAATTCTTTTTCAGGCTACTGTACATGAAGCAGATGAAACAGGACACTCACTGTGGCTTTGAGAGCCTGGATTGTGTGATGTCTGGGGAAGCCCATGGAGGTGAGGATGGAGATGCTCTCTTCTGGAGGTTGGTTGTCCAGCACACTGCTAGTAGGGAAGCTGGGGCCGGGCAGGTCTGGTTCCATGTAAGTGGGAATTGCCAGAGGCTCGGCAAAATCTACAGTTGGTTTTACAAGAGACATAAGAGATAAGTATTTTATCACACATATATAGTGTTATTACATTTAAAATATCACAACACAGACAACACCGATAGTAGATGGAAGTACATTATGCTGTACTATACATCCAAAATATCTCACAAAGAACACCAGATCAGTGTTGGGGAAAGTTACTTTTAAAAGTAATGCATTACAATATTGAAACGATACATTTCCTTTAAATAAACGCACACACACAAATACAACAAAAAAACCCTGAAAAGTACTTTCATCAAAGATTTAGTTAGCAAGTAAACTTTGACTGAATAACAGCGTAATCTCCAAATAACTTTAATCCAACACAAACAGCATTTCCTTCAATTATAAACAGTGTAGACAAACTTTCAAGTATCCATTAAAGGAATGTGAAGGTTAGCCAAGCAGTTCAACAGAAGAGATGGCTCCTCAATTCTCACATGCTTGGTTGATGAGCAACAAGTGACAAAACTGACCCAGACATGCTGGAACATGTTTTTGCATCGGTGTAACGTGACACTATGCTAATTATATTCCTGCCAAAGAATCATATCAAACAATTTGCAGCAAGAAGTAACAGTTCAAAACATGAACATACTACATACAGTGGCCCTAAAAAATATCTAGACACGATTGGACACTGTATGAAATGTATGAATTTCATTGTTTTAGATTTTTTTCAAAAAGTGTCATCTGCAAACAAATGACACTTGAACTTTTAGTGGAACTAGTCTCAAGGTAATTTTTTAGTCGATGTGTGGAGTCGGTTCCACGCAGTGAAGTTCACGCAGGTGTCCTAGAAGAGTAACCACAGGTGCAGTGTATCATAACGCAATGACATTCATAAATTTTTAGTTGTCCAAATTCTTTTTCAGGCTACTGTACATGAAGCAGATGAAACAGGACACTCACTGTGGCTTTGAGAGCCTGGATTGTGTGATGTCTGGGGAAGCCCATGGAGGTGAGGATGGAGATGCTCTCTTCTGGAGGTTGGTTGTCCAGCACACTGCTAGTAGGGAAGCTGGGGCCAGGCAGGTCTGGTTCCAAGTAAGTGGGAATTGCCAGAGGCTCGGCAAAATCTACAGTTGGTTTTACAAGAGACATAAGAGATAAGTATTTTATCACACATATATAGTGTTATTACATTTAAAATATCACAACACAGACAACACCGATAGTAGATGGAAGTACATTATGCTGTACTATACATCCAAAATATCTCACAAAGAACACCAGATCAGTGTTGGGGAAAGTTACTTTTAAAAGTAATGCATTACAATATTGAAAAAAACTAATTACGTTACTTAGTTACTTTTTATTGAAAGCAATGCATTACGTTACTTTTGCGTTACTTTTTAAATCTGGGCTGGGTTTGCTTGTTCGCTTTTAATATAAAAAAGTTCTATTTTTGGCAAATATAAAAGCCCTTTCACACCAAAAGCCTCAGGCTGAAGGAAATGTAAATCTGTACAGTAGAACACAGAAGAAGAAAGCTCAACACTCTTCAGCAATAAAAAAAGAAGAAATGTTAGTTTATCTTCATTTTTAGTTGTCCAAATTCTTTTTCAGGCTACTGTACATGAAGCAGATGAAGCAGGACACTCACTGTGGCTTTGAGAGCCTGGATTGTGTGATGTCTGGGGAAGCCCATGGAGGTGAGGATGGAGATGCTCTCTTCTGGAGGTTGGTTGTCCAGCACACTGCTAGTAGGGAAGCTGGGGCCAGGCAGGTCTGGTTCCAAGTAAGTGGGAATTGCCAGAGGCTCGGCAAAATCTACAGTTGGTTTTACAAGAGACATAAGAGATAAGTATTTTATCACACATATATAGTGTTATTACATTTAAAATATCACAACACAGACAACACCGATAGTAGATGGAAGTACATTATGCTGTACTATACATCCAAAATATCTCACAAAGAACACCAGATCAGTGTTGGGGAAAGTTACTTTTAAAAGTAATGCATTACAATATTGCGTTACTTCCTAAAAAAGTAACTAATTACGTTACTTAGTTACTTTTTATTGAAAGCAATGCATTACGTTACTTTTGCGTTACTTTTTAAATCTGGGCTGGGTTTGCTTGTTCGCTTTTAATATAAAAAAGTTCTATTTTTGATTACGTAACTTGCGTTACTTGTAATGCGTTACCCCCAACACTGCACCAGATTCAGCCTAGTGTGTGGATTTATTCACCAAAGAGAATACCAAGAAAGGGTGAAAATATCACACTCGCTGCTCTATTGAGATTACACAGATAAACCGGAAATTCAAATGAACACGAGCCATGTAATCCATTCCCTGTAGTCTGCAACTAATCCTTTAATGTTCAAGATCAAATTATGTGCTCTCTCACACACACACACACACACACTGTATGACACCACGTCCTACATGAACAAACATTCAGGTACTCCTGACAACAGACTTGATATTTAATAACAACCTTAAGTTCCTTACCTTGAAAATTACTACTATATATAAAATAAGTATACAAATTAAGCAGAAATGTGACTATTAAATATGAATTAAATTAAATATGTATTAATATTAATTATGAATACATTTTAAATTAAAAGCTATTGTACCATGTAAATATCTAATAAAAGAGAAAGGTATCTCTCAAGCTTCTTTTTTAGAACTTGATTATTTATTTTATAATCCCATTTTGACTAATTCCTTTATTAATTTGCAATTTAATGAGCTTTTTTTTATATATATATTTTATTCAGCAACCATGCATTAAATAGATCAAAAGTGACAGTAACAACTTTTACATTGTTAAAAAAAAACATCAATCTATTAATAAATGCTGTTCTTTTGAACTTTCCATTCATCAAATAACCCTAAAATAATCATATAAAAAAGTATCAGTTTCCAAAAAAAAAAAATAATTAAGCAGAACAACTGTTTTCAACTTTGATAATGATAGGAAATATTTATTGAGCATGAAATCAACATTTTGGAATGATTTAGCTTTGTCATACAAAGTAATAAAGTAGAGTTAAAAAAATTTAAACAGAAAACAGTTATTTTTAAATTGTAATAATATTTAGGTTTACTGTATTATTAATCAGATAAATATACATATGTAAATATACTTGCATAAATCAGTCAAGGCAAACCAAATATATAATATTAGGTATGAATTGTCTGTTTATTAATTAAAGAAAAACTGAAATTATATATGAAAATATCACACACACACAAACATAAAAGGCAAAGCAGGACAAAATATTTGTACTTTTTAATATAAAAAGTTAAGATTTCTTCTTTCCTTAGATTAGCCATATATCACCTCCACAGCACTGAAGAATTAAGGTAAGACTAAAAAAAAATCTCTGTATATTGCACACTATATTAATAACCACTGTCAGTAGCATCTATATAGGAACAGCCCCAGCTGTAGCTGTGGAGCAGACGTAAGCCACACGAGTCTAGGAGGTGCAAAGCTAATGGGGTTCGGACCGCTTGAGACTCTGCTTGTGTGTATGTCTGAGTCTGTTTGTGATCTCAGGTGGCTGCTTAACTGGGGCAGGAAAGTGAGGAGAACATAATTTCCTGCTCACAGGTGACACTCAGTTGTGAGGACTGTGTTTACTAGCCACAAGCGCAATGATAAACCAGGTTGACTAGCAAGAGACTTGAAATACAACCTTGTGTAAACTTGAATCTACTCAACTAGAACATTTTGAGTTCAATAATATAAAGCACCTTAGATGCATTTGGATTAATCACTGTGGCATGAATCTTTCCCCATCATTGAAAATACGCAACTCTTTACGTCACACGTATTTATCTTATACCCTAGCTAAGTGACATGCTCCAAACATCAAATATTCCCCTGTGGCTGGAACCCAGATAATGAGCCTTACGAAGCACACCAGATCTCCATGGTTTATTTATCTTGAATGCAGCATAGACAACAGTTAAAAATATATGTTTGCTTTAACCAAACGCTATTATCACAGGTCATAGGTCTGTTCTGAAAAGAAAAAAAACTCAGTGAACTCATCTTGGTAGAAACTACACTAATTAGGCAGATGCTTCTCATGGACATGGATATGACCCAGATTACAGGTGAGGGTAAATACGTTAAGGATAATACATGTTTTTTCCAAAAACAATGTTTTGCAAATTACTGATTTCCCAGGGCCTGAAACATTAAGACTTAAAAGACATTTTGAAATTAAACAGTCAAACTATAAAGACAAGCAAATTTAATATTTGGCCCTGTATTTGTTCCATCAAACTGTTGGTTATGCTTTTACAAAATTTTCCTAGAGTGCAACAGCCGGGTTCTGGAAGTAGAAATGCCATTCATTGTCTTCATAGGGAAACTGATTTTAGTAATAACAAAAACCATTAAAGACCGACCTATTGCAAACACAGAGGTTTTTAATCGATAGTATATGCTTTTGTTGAAGCCATCAGTTTGCATTATTCCAAATTATGTTTTAAATAGTCTTGTTTAACAGCAGCTAAAAACTACATTGTTTTACATCCCTGGTGAAAAACTGCATTACCCATGATGCTGTAAAGAAAATTGCTCTAATCAGAAAGGCGCAGCTCCACACCCGATGTAGTTGAATATGTATGTATATATATTTATATATATAGAGAGAGAGAGAGAGAGAGATCAAAATATATTGATTCTATATATACGATAAATAACTTTAAATTGACAGTTTTATATTTTTCCATCATTTTGAATTAGATTATATCATTCACAATGGTTAATGGGATTGTAGTTCTTTCCCTCATTAAAACAGGTACACAGTACACAGATAAGTGAAGCACTTTTGTACTTTTGTCTTTTTGTCCGATTTTCAAATACTTTTTTACTTTAAACAAAAGTTTGTAATGTTGTGATTCACCTTTTAGTTGGTTGGTTGGTTTAGTTAATGCTTTTTAATGCTTTTACAGGACTTTTTTGAAATCCCTATGGGAAAAACAAATGGAAAAAATACTTCTGGAACTGGAACCAGCACCTCTGAAAAAGAGGGTGAACACACATGCACTCTATTCAGCCCATTTATGCCAATTTTGCATATTGTTGCACCAACGCACATCATAGAGTAATATTAATATCCAATGTTTGAATTTAAGGACTTCTGTATTAAAAACGATTTTGATACAATTTTGCATCACCGTTTAATTTCCCATAAGGCCTAAAGCAAAACCAGCTGAGTAAATATTGTTGTGAAACTGTGCTCGAGTTTTTGAAAGAATTCAACTGGATGGCTAATATGAAAATGACAGTAAGTTCATCTGAGTTAAATGTCTAAAATGTCTACAGTAAAAGTGTTCCTTTCGAGGCAGCCTGTAATTAGGTGACAGTGTCTTCTGCTCAATTAGACTTTCCCTCGCACTTCACCGCCAGCAAAATGGCTACAACCTTTTAGCCAGTGGAGCTAAAATGGCAGACACTTGAGTGTTTTCCATTGATTACTAGACTATGTGACCAGAGCCATTAGAACAAATACAATCTCATACATTTAATACAGTATCAGCTGCAAGTTTTAGACCATAAGTAATGTATATAATTTGCTATTTGTTTATGGAACATTTTATAGTGTTACATAATATATACATTGTTAAATATTAGATATAATAACCAATACTTCTATTATTATTTTAAGTAATATGGAATAATTGGAATATGGAATAATTATATGGAATAAGCAAAGGACACAAAGGATATGCCTTTGTTCAAAATGTGTCAGTTCAGTTGAGATATGAGGATCTACCTGGCTCTTCCATGTGTGCTATTATCCAGTTAAAGGCCATCTCTGCCCCCATATTCCCAGTGTAGTACACTGCCTTCCGACAGGCTTCCAGAGGGAACCCCATCTCTGCCAGTTGCATCACGGATGATTCATCTATTTCTGGAGCTGAGGAACAGGTAGAGAATAGTGGCTTTAAATCCACATCAGCAGCCCATAACTAACAATAAATACACAGACCATATTTAAAATCAACAAGAGAAACTAATGGACCATTTTGAGAGACTTTTAAGAGAGAGAGATCAAAATATATTGATTCTATATATACGATAAATAACTTTAAATTGACAGTTTTATATTTTTCCATCATTTTGAATTAGATTATATCATTCACAATGGTTAATGGGATTGTAGTTCTTTCCCTCATTAAAACAGGTACACAGTACACAGTACACAGATAAGTGAAGCACTTTTGTACTTTTGTCTTTTTGTCCGATTTTCAAATACTTTTTTACTTTAAACAAAAGTTTGTAATGTTGTGATTCACCTTTTAGTTGGTTGGTTGGTTTAGTTAATGCTTTTTAATGCTTTTACAGGACTTTTTTGAAATCCCTATGGGAAAAACAAATGGAAAAAATACTTCTGGAACTGGAACCAGCACCTCTGAAAAAGAGGGTGAACACACATGCACTCTATTCAGCCCAATTTTGCATATTGTTGCACCAATGCACATCATAGAGTAATATTAATATCCAATGTTTGAATTTAAGGACTTCTGTATTAAAAACGATTTTGATACAGTTTTGCATCACCGTTTAATTTCCCATAAGGCCTAAAGCAAAACCAGCTGAGTAAATATTGTTGTGAAACTGTGCTCGAGTTTTTGAAAGAATTCAACTGGATGGCTAATATGAAAATGACAGTAAGTTCATCTGAGTTAAATGTCTAAAATGTCTACAGTAAAAGTGTTCCTTTCGAGGCAGCCTGTAATTAGGTGACAGTGTCTTCTGCTCAATTAGACTTTCCCTCGCACTTCACCGCCAGCAAAATGGCTACAACCTTTTAGCCAGTGGAGCTAAAATGGCAGACACTTGAGTGTTTTCCATTGATTACTAGACTATGTGACCAGAGCCATTAGAACAAATACAATCTCATACATTTAATACAGTATCAGCTGCAAGTTTTAGACCATAAGTAATGTATATAATTTGCTATTTGTTTATGGAACATTTTATAGTGTTACATAATATATACATTGTTAAATATTAGATATAATAACCAATACTTCTATTATTATTTTAAGTAATATGGAATAATTGGAATATGGAATAATTATATGGAATAAGCAAAGGACACAAAGGATATGCCTTTGTTCAAAATGTGTCAGTTCAGTTGAGATATGAGGATCTACCTGGCTCTTCCATGTGTGCTATTATCCAGTTAAAGGCCATCTCTGCCCCCATATTCCCAGTGTAGTACACTGCCTTCCGACAGGCTTCCAGAGGGAACCCCATCTCTGCCAGTTGCATCACGGATGATTCATCTATTTCTGGAGCTGAGGAACAGGTAGAGAATAGTGGCTTTAAATCCACATCAGCAGCCCATAACTAACAATAAATACACAGACCATATTTAAAATCAACAAGAGAAACTAATGGACCATTTTGAGAGACTTTTAATATTGTTCATCGAATAAGTAATTTTGTAGTGCATGCATACAATTGTAAATATGTCAGATGTAATTCTGAATTTACAATCAAAGTGGTACTTACATTCCAAAGAGTTGTTTGTTGTACTGTCTGAATGTAAAAACAAGACAAAGCAAAGCAAAAGGGGATGCTAAATATGCAATTGTGCAAGCAGACTGCTTTTTATTATATTGCGTTATATAATATTTAAAGAAATTCAAACAATGGCAAAAAAAAACATAAACTGAGTGATAGTAAGATTTTTTTTTTTTAATAAAGTTATTCAGCTCACCAAAGCTGCATTTATTTGATAGTAAAATAGTAAAACAGTAATAATAATGTAAAATATTCTACATTTAAAATAACTCTTTTCAATTTTAATATATTTTAAAATATATAATTAATTCCTATTATGGCAATGTTGATTTTCTTCAGTGTCACATGATCCTTCAGAAATCATTCTAATATGTTGATTTCAAGAATCATTTCTTACTATTATCAATGCTGCTTATTTTTGTGGAAACTATGATACATGTAGAATATAATTAGAAATAGATTTTTTTTTAAACAATGTAAAAGTATTTACTTTTGATTCATTTAATGCATCCTTGCTGAATAAATTAATTTCTATCAAAAAAAAATAAAATGTCTAGTACAAATCTTCTCACCTCTGGTATCTTCAGAAATGACAATGGGAGGTGTAATGTCAGGCAGTTCTGCTTCTCCAGCCTGTAGCCCTGTGGCCCGGAGGCGATTCAAGTCCAGGAAATCAGGTACATCTACAGAAACATCTGTAGCACATAAAAAAAAGATTTTAAAGGAAATTATATATTACAAAAAGACATACTGTACACTGATACACTCAGAACAGACTCTGGGCATTATTCCTTTCCAAAAACCTTGCCAACATTTTACTGACCACAGAACCTCAAACAGTCATTGACCCCAAACGTTTTTCATGTAAAAAGACAGTGTTAGAGTACCCTCTGCTGGACAAGGGAAAAGCTTCTGCTGAGCAAACATAACACCTTGTAAACTGATAGTGTTTTGAGGCAAGCAATCATGATGCATTGCTCAACATGAATAACATGTGGTGGTCTGAATTGCACAAGAGAGCATGTTATGCAGACACAGATGACAAACAAGAACATGACATATCAATAAATCTGCTTTGAGGTACAGAGAAAACAAAAAATCCTTTCATTAAGTGATGATCCAACATTTTGTACATGCTTTGAATGCTTATGTCATTAATGTGTTAATTTATCTACAACAATGTGAAATCAAATATACAATGTCAATCTAAGAGTTTACTCAAATTACACACCTAACTTTTTGGGCACCCAGTCAACCCCAAATGTGAACTTCTTTATTTGCACGATCATGTACTCTGGGAAAGATGCGAAACGAGAAGTCCTGAAGAGAGAGAAAGATATAATCTTTTAGAGCAGGGGTTTATACGTATATTGGGATTTATATACATATACATGGGTTTATCTATATACTGCCACTCAAAAGTTCTAACATTGATTATATTAAAATATTAAATGCATATTAAAATGATTTCTGAAGGATCATGTGAAGACTGGAGTAATGACTGATGAAAATTCAGCTTTGCATCAACGGAATAAATTATATTTTAAAGTATACTACAATAGAAAACCATTTTTTTAATTGCAATAATACTTCACAATATTACAGTTTTATTTCTGTATTTTTGGTCAAAAAAATACAGCCCTGATGAGCATAAGATTTTTTTTTTTAAACAATAAAAATCATACTGATCCCAAACTTTTGAATGTCAGTGTGTGTGTGTGTGTATATATATATATACACACACATAAATATTACAAAAATACAATAAAAAGTCATGTTAATATTATAATTAAATAATTAAATTAAATAGCATGAAATTGCATTATTGTAGATGTAATCCCCATGATATTCTTCTACATTTTGGAGAATGTGTTACAAGTCCTTCGAAGGTCTCAAAACCAGAACCTTGCTTACTTCACTCCGGCCGACTTGGCTTGCAGTGCAGAGCTCCAGAAGTCTGGAACAAAACCATTTTTTTAATTGCAATAATACTTCACAATATTACAGTTTTATTTCTGTATTTTTGGTCAAAAAAATACAGCCCTGATGAGCATAAGAATTTTTTTTTTTAAACAATAAAAATCATACTGATCCCAAACTTTTGAATGTCAGTGTGTGTGTGTGTGTGTATATATATATATACACACACATAAATATTACAAAAATACAATAAAAAGTCATGTTAATATTATAATTAAATGTATATATTAAATAGCATGAAATTGCATTATTGTAGATGTAATCCCCATGATATTCTTCTACATTTTGGAGAATGTGTTACAAGTCCTTCGAAGGTCTCAAAACCAGAACCTTGCTTACTTCACTCCGGCCGACTTGGCTTGCAGTGCAGAGCTCCAGAAGTCTGGAACATTCTCAGGCTCAGTGAAGGCTTGTAGACAGGCAGTGAAGGGGATTCGGGCTCTCACTGGCTCTGGAGGGGGCCGCATGTTCTCCTCAGCTTCCTTCCGCTTACTCTCATATGCTATTAACTCCTCTGTACAATCGACAAAACCATATGCAATTAAAACACCATTAGGTCTACCTGCACATTAGATTAACTGAAAAGAGCTAAAATAATATTAAACACAATAAAACAGTATCACCTGACTACATTAAATTTCATCATTTTTTATAGTCCGATCATGTAGAAATAGCTCTTTAAATGCAATAAAAAACCCATTTCAACTTTTTATAGTGCAGAAGCAATGTTTAACTCAGTTGTAGAAGGTATTACCTCTGTTGCTGGCAGCCTCTAAGGGTACAGGAAGCTGCATAAGGTAGTCCACTCGTTGTGTGTACCGCACCTTCTGTGTCTGACAGCACTGCACTCGCTCCTCAACTAAGAAGCGGAACACATCGCTGGGGTTCTCTGAGCCTGAACTGTTCCTCTGGAAATGGCAAAACACAAGTTATTTTCTGTTAGAACCATGGCACAGTGGGTAACACTGCACATTTTAAGAGCTGGTTTGCTCATGGAAAAACAGGTTTGAATCCGACCTGTTCACATTCACCTTTTCTCCTTAACTTTCCTATCTACTTTTCCGGTCCATTAAAGGCAAAAGCCTATAAAAAGTTTTGTTGAGGCACTAAGAACCTTCAAAGACAGACAGCATTTAACACATTAATGAGATAATCCACCCAAAAATGAAAATTATATCATTATTTATTCACCATTGTGTCATTCCAAACCTGTATGCGGTTTAATCTTCGGCAGAACACTAAAAAAAAATTTTTTTTTAAAGATATTTTGAAGAATGCTGGTAACTAAACAGTTTTGGTACCAGCTGACTTCCCATTGTATTTTTTGCCCATATAATGGAAGTCATAGGGAACTGAAACTGTTTGGTTTTCATCATTCGTCAATATTAGATGTTTC